CCCATACACATGCTGTTTAGTGATTTTGTGCTTTGTATTATTTGGTCTGTAGTGTGTTCCTTGATGTCTAAGTGTCAATATAAATCTAGGTAGAAGCTGTAGGCCATTTAGATCCACTCATTCCAGTACCTCTCTGACCTTCTTTGCTCTTCTCCACCATCTCCTATTTTCCATTTTTCAAAAACAAATGAATTTTTTAAGGAAAAGAAAGCCTATCACATGTCAAAGGCACTAATCAATAATTGATCTATACTTTTCATGGCATAAAACAGCCTTTGGCCTTAAATGATCTATGCTGTACTAATTCAGCAATCCACATTATTTGAGGTAGTAGCAAAAGTCCCTATCTACATTATCTCCTTTACATGGGTAGGCCACGCCATGCCAAGGCTTTTATTACTTTTATATCAATAACAAAAAAAAGTCATGCATGTACTGTATTTTTTGTGACGTCTGCTCTTCTGACTAACACACAAATGCTATTCACATCTGAATGACAAAAAAGCCAAGAACACAGTGTCTGTCATAAAACAAACAATGTATTAATGGAGACATTAATCACAATCAAAATGGTATTAGAAATGTCCATAGCCAAAGAGAGCTTAGTTGACAGCTAGTGGCCATAAACCTGTCCAAAAACTAATTTGATTACTGTCATACTAGCATCTGTGCCACTTACTAGGGTTCATTTTTGATGAAATTAAGTAGACAAGTCACTCATGCGTATAATAGACAACTAAATCATGGTAAACATGTTGTTGGCAATAGAAAAGGTTTAGGTAACTGCTGTGGTCTTTCACTGGCCTAATACCAATCCATTTACAATTTTGGAAATGTTTCCGTATATATTTCAAAATGGCCATGCCTTTAGACAGAGTCTTTTGTTTCTTTCACATACAAAGTAATAAAAAGTGACATTTTTACAATTGTACAGTATGTGCTTTTAAAATTAGCTATATTTATTTATTTGACTTTTTGTCCTTTGTTCAATACTTATAGCTTTATTTATAAACAGATATTTAAAGTTGGGTGATTGCTTGTGGATACTGAAATAACTTAGCTTCTTTTAGCTCATAATGGCGTTGGCTTAACCTGATCACAGAGATCTTAATCAAGTTCAATTCATCTGTGATTGTGAAACCTCCTTGTTCAATTCTCAATTTACTCTTATAAACAGTTTAGCAAATAAAAAGGTTTGAACATTTTAGATCAAAGCAAACTTGCAAAGTTTTTCTGATCCACATTACCTGTTGTTGTCATAGGTTATATTTTTAAACATGCTGGAATCTTCAAAGCTAAAACTATATTCTAAGTAGTACCAGAAGAAAATAGGTTTTTAAATGTAGCACAGTTATTCAGTGTTTCAATGGGTTTCAGAAATGTGGTTAAAAATACACATTAATTACTAATAGCGACTATTCAAAAAAACGATAAAGTAAATCAATATTATAGCTGATATAAATAATGTAAAAATTATAAAAAATATAATGTAACACAAGTAATCTGCTACACAATAAACAGTGAGAAACTGCTGCAGAATAATGTGTTCAAAGTCCACCAAAGTTCATAGCATAAACAGTACTCTAAGTGAAAAACCAACAGAACACAGGATGGGTGACATGAATCCTCCACCAGATCCCCCAAAGGTGTACTCTCAACTGGTCAATTGTTCCTCACTACAAAGGTCAAACTTGCATGAAGGACACAGAATGCCCAATTCTGCCAGATGGACTCAATCAGCATACAGCACCCCGGTCAGGATTTTGCTCCCCAACATCTCCTCTTCATAATCAGTGGTTCAAATAAGTTCTTAACCTCAAACAATATTTCCTTGTTGTCACATTATTGAAAGTACTGTATGAAGGTGTTTAATAGCAGCACTGCTTACTTGCTTTCTCATGACTACCATAGACCCTGATCTATGGTAGTCCTGGTGGCAAAGCATGCAAAAGGGTGGGGCCCAGAGTAAGCATACAGAGTGCACATCAAGATGCATGGTGAGGAATAAGGATCCAAATTAAAAAATATAACACCCATTCAAGGTCTGTGGTGCTGCAGAAGCACCTGTCACTCACAGTGGTGGCTTGGGAAGAGGTGATTAGGTGTGCTACAGCACTTCTAAAATGTTTTAAAGCATCTTCATCTGCTGGCCACCTGCTTAGGTTTCCAAATGCGAACACATTTACAGTGCAATGCAGCCTATACCTGTGTTTAAGCACAAAGAATGTGTGTGCTGCTGCAGCTGCTCATCTCCTTCTTCTGAGTCCTAGCAATGCCCCCTCTTCTCTCACCACCACATTTGAGTAAGCTAGCCTTGGAGAAGACACAGGGAACCCATGCCTGGTGCTGCTCTATATCACAGAAAGGAGGAAGGAAGCTTGACAGCATCATAAAAATGTATCTTTGACTGACAGGCACACAGTGCTTTTGCCTTTGATCAGCTGAATTACTGGTCCCCATCCTAGAAGTTATGGCATCAGATGTTATGTGTGGGCTCATCTTCACAAGAAATTCACATCACATTCTGTGATGCTGATGACCCCGCACCACCTATTCTGCCCTCTCCTCCCACTCAGTTTCTCCCTTTCTCCTTTTGCTCTCCCCTATGTTTCCTTTCCCTCCTTCGCTCTCTATCCCCAATGCTCACTCTCTCCCCCTCTGATCTCTCTCCTCTGCAGTATCTCTCTCCCCACTGAATATCTCTCTCTCCTCTCTGCTCTCTCCTCCTCTGCTCTCTTCCCTTCTTCCCTCCCTTCTGCTCTCTCTACCCCCCCCCCTTCTCTCTCTCCTCTCTGCTCTTTCCTCCTCTGCTCTCTTCCCTCCTTTCTGCTCTCTATAACCCCCCCTCTCTCTCTCCCCTCTCTGCTCTCTTTTTCTCCCCTCTGCTCGCTCCCCCTCTGCTTATTTTTTTACCCTCTGCTCTCTCTTTCACCCATCTGCTATTGTTCTATCCCTCTGCTCTCTCTTCCACTCTGATCTCACTCTCTCTCCCCCCCTGCTCTCTCTCCCCTTTGTTCTCTTTCTTCTCCCCTCCTCTACTATCTCTCTCCTGCTCACTCTCCCATCTCTGCTCTATCTCCCCCCTCCTCCTCTCTTTCTCCCCTCCATCCCTGCTCTCTTCTCTTACCCCTCTCTCTCTTATTGGGTTGGACATTATTGTACGCGTGGTTATTGTTGTGCTGGGAGTTATTAGCTGCCCTTTCCCTGACATTTACTGAGCGTTACTATTGTGTTGGGGGCTATTGCTGGCCCAGACACTTGTTGGGATTAATATTGCTGGTCCTGACACATGCTGGGGCTATTGCTGGGGGTTATCTTTGCTGGCACTAGCACTTGATGGGGTTTATCAATGCCAGGCCTTACAATTGCATGGTGTTATTGCTGGCCCTGACACTTGCTGGGGGTTATTGCTGCCACTGACGCCAACAGTAAGGGTTATTTTACTCCCACAGCCTTTTTAGTATACCACAGGCACTATTACGTTTAAAGCATAGTAAGCCATCCTGTACTCTGTGCTGTATATACACTATTAAACACTGCCTCGTTCTACACTATGTAAGCAATGCAGACTCCAGCCATACACCTTTAAGCTACACCTATATGCAGTGTAATGAAAGACATGGCCACTTTTTGTATTTTCTTTTTCTCAACCAATGGGGCCCAACTAATGAATATGCATACAGGCCCACTTCTTTCACAAAATGCCCCTAATATCTGTATCTGTATATTTGTACAGTATAGTCCTTCTCCCCTAGAATGATAATATTAGATCCAGTAAAAATGTCTAGAAAGCAGTTTTTTTTTAGATACCTGTAAAACTATACAGGATAAAAGGATAATAATTTCACTTTGTGTATGGCACACTTGCTAAAAAGGTTCAGCAAAGCTAGTCTGTGTTTTGGTTACAAATAGATGCTGTTGAACCAAATTACTTTCTGAATGAAACTTTTGCAGAAGTAGGATTTTTTGTGCTGGAGATGTCAGATCTGCATCCCGCAGCCACAGTCTCACTACGCTTGTCGTACCCAGAGGAGCCTCATTTCCCCTGCTGCATATTTCCATTGTAACTCATATAAGAAGAATTAGATCCCTCTGTCATGATCATGGAAGATGGAGTCTATTGAGTCAACCTTATACATACAGCATACAGTACATATATATAACCGTATTTTTCGCTCCATAAGATGCACTTTTTTTCCCCAAAAAATGGGGGGAAATGTCTGTGCATCTTATGGAGCAAATATGAAGCGGCCAGCCCGGTATTCCCCCCGTTGCACGCGGCTGCGTGTTAGGATACCCAGCCAGCCGCTCGGCTCTTCTTTGCAGCAGTGCCAGGCAGGGCCCAAAGCAGCTGCCCCTTAAAGCAGAGTTCCAGCTGAAAAGAAAAAGTCAGCAGCTACAAAAACTGTAGCTGCTGACTTTTAAAATACAGCCACTTACCTGTTCCTCAGTCCAGCGGTGTCCTCACCACCGCTGGTGTCACCGGCCATCTTCTCTCCCTGGCATCAGCATCTTTAGTGTAGGCACCCAGCTATGACAGCTTGTGGCTTCACAGTCGGGTGCCCACTGCACATGCGCAAGAAGCGCTGTGCTTTGTGAATGGCCCCGTAGTCTTCCGGGACATGTCACATGTCCCGGAAGACTACGGGAGGGAGGACAACTTCCGCTTCCGCTTAGGCGATCACAGCGGAAGTGGGAGCGGGTACCTGTTAAATTTGGGTACCCACTCCCCAAAGCTCTGCAGTCTCTGGCCATCTCCTGTACTATGTCTGCAGTCTCTGGCCATCTCCTAGTACTATGTCTGCAGTATCTGGTCATCTCCTGTACTAGTCTGCAGTCTCTGGTCATCTGTATTATGCATGAATTCTCTGGTCATCTCCTGTAGTATGTCCGCAGTCTCTGGTCATCTCTGTACTGTGTCACAGTCTCTGGTCATCTCCTGTACTATGTCCGCAGTCTCTGGTCATCTCCTGTATTGTGTCCGAATTCTCTGGTCATCTCCTGTACTGTGTCCGCAGTCTCTGGTCATCTCCTGTACTGTGTCCGCAGTCTCTGGTCATCTCCTGTACTGTGTCCGCAGTCTCTCTGGTCATCTCCAATACTGTGTCTGCAGTCTCCGGTCATCTCCTGTACTATGTCCGCGGTCTCTGGTCATCTCCTGTACTATGTCCACACTCTCTGGTCATCTCCTGTACTATGTCCGCAGTCTCTGGTCATTTCCTGTACTATGTCTGCAGTCTCTGGTCATCTCCTGTAGTACATCTGCAGTCTCTGGTCACCTCCTGTACTATGTCCACAGTCTCTGGTCATCTCCTGTACTATGTCTGCAGTCTCTGGTCATCTCCTGTACTATGTTTGCAGTCTCTGGTCATCTCCTGTAGTACATTCACAGTCTCTAGTCATCTCCTGTACTATGTCTGCAGTCTCCGGTCATCTCCTGTATTATGTCTGTATTCGCTGGTCATCTCCTGTAGTATGTCCGCAGTCTCTGGTCATCTCCTGTACTATGTCTGCAGTCTCTGGTCATCTCCTGTAGTACATCCACAGTCTCTGGTCATTTCCTGTACTATGTCTGCAGTCCATTGGTTCAGAATATTTTTTTTTCTTGTTTTCCTCCTCTAAAACCTAGGTGCGTCTTATGGTCAGGTGCATCTTATGGAGCGAAAAATATGGCGTGTGTGTATATTTACTAGACCACTATCACAAAAATGGAACATATTGGTTGTTTTACACCTTTAGTACTGGCCCCAGAGGTTCAGTCCTGGACCAATACTGCACACTCACTCCCTGCACCCTACCTCTTGGAACAGAAAGAAAAAGTATGTCTTCTCAATGTTTATTTTAATCAAGCAAACAATAAAATTGAAAATTTACAATAAATGTATGTTTTGTGTACTTAGAACTACCTCCTTAGGAGTTGCTGAATTGTTTTTGGGTTCCCCGTGGATCTGGACCCCACTCTGAAGGCCCAACCCCTGCTGACACCACAATACACGCTTAGCTGAAATAAATCACCACCAGAGAGTGAATTCACACACGGATTGAAGAAAATTAGTAAGAGGTTTATAGTAAACTTCAATTTGGCAAAAACAGAACTGGAATATGTAAAATCAATTGTTACATGTCAATTTGAACTTAAGGAAAAGACAGCACTCCCCAGTGAGCAGATGGGGCTATCAGACAGGTAGACTAGATCACTTTGAGCTCTCAAGACCTGATGGTAAGGAGATGAAATAAGGAAAAGAGCTCTTTACTGCAAAATGTTCTTTAAAGGCAATGAAGAGTCTTCTGCAGTTGGTGCACAGTGAAGAGAAGTGTGGACTGTAACTCTCTGAGGAACAGTGTAATTAAGAGAAGGAGGAATAACACTCCCCTTGCAAGCAGCAATCTTACAGATATAATGTTCCTTTAAGGCACTAGTCCAGCAATGGGCAAACTACGGCCCGCGGGCCGTATACGGCCCGGCGGACCTTTTAATCCGGCCCACAGAGCTAGGCTCCCGCTAGGCTCCTCTCACAGTCCGCCCTGATGACCGGTGTAGCATGCAAATCTGTCTCCTATGAGGATCTGTCCCCCTCGACGTATCTGCGCATGTGCCGGAGATCGCCGATCGGCTGCTAATGCCTGAAACTGGCACATGCGCAGATACGTCAAGGGGGACAGATCCTCATAGGAGACAGATTTTCATGCTACACCGAAACGGCGCGGGAACACGGTGAGAGGAACGCGCGGAGCAAAGGTAAGTGAATTGACACAGGGGGGGGGGACTTAATATGGGGGATGAATTAATATGGGGAATGAATTACTATAGGGGGGATGAATTACTATAGGGGGGATGAATTACTATAGGGGGGATGAATTACTATATGGGGATGAATTACTATAGGGGGGATGAATTACTATATGGGGGGATGAATTACTATATGGGGGATGAATTACTATGGGGGATGAATTACTATAGGGGGGATGAATTACTATATGGGGGATGAATTACTCTATGGGGGATAAATTACTATATGGGGGATGAATTACTCTATATGGGGGATGAATTACTATAGGGGGGATGAATTACTATGGGGGATGAATTACTATATGGGGGATGAATTACTATAGGGGGGATGAATTACTATATGGGGGATGAATTACTATATGGGGGATGAATTACTATATGGGGGATGAATTACTATGGGGGGATGAATTACTATATGGGGGATGAATTACTATATGGGGGATGAATTACTATATGGGGGATGAATTACTATATGGGGGGTGAATTACTATGGGGGATGAATTACTATGGGGGATGAATTACTATATGGGGGATGAATTACTATGGGGGATGAATTACTATATGGTGGATGAATTACTATGGGGGATGAATTACTATATGGGGGATGAATTACTATGGGGGATGAATTACTATATGGGGGATTAAATACTATGCTTACTATGGGGGAATATTACTATACTTACTATGGATGACACATACACATCATTCATCTACTCTTGGTCCGCCCCCGGGTCCAATATATGAACCCATTGCGGTCCTCAAGTCAAAACGTTTGCCCACCCCTGCACTAGTCTCTAGTGAATCTAAAGCAACAAGTGGCCAAACCGGTAAAAGTGGTTGTTGGCACAGGGCAACTCTTCTCTGGGATTCAAGACTTTTGGCACAATAGGGAAAAGGCCTCCTTAGCAGGGTGTATTGATGATGATGGTGACACAGCGGTGGTCTGAGCTGTGGACTGAATGTCCTGCTATCAGATGATAAGGCTGTGCTAAGTGTGGTCAGACATTAGCGGCTAAAGGAACTAGGCCGCAACTTCTAATAACTATGTGCAATGTCCTCAGCTGTGTGCAGGGAAATAGCTAAGGTGGAGCAGGTGTCAGTGTTCCCTGTGCTTAATAATGCCTAGGACTCTCTCACCCGAGGGATGGCATCTGGTGGATTCTGGTGGTCTTTCTCTTCTCTTTGGTAAGGTCTCCACATACTGTCTGGTCCCACCTGTAGCGTTATGTCCGGTCACCTGCTAGCTCTCTCCAATATGCGGCAAGGTAAGCAATCAGTAGAGATCCCCTGATGAAGTCATGTGACGGTGATGTAACGAGTGGGCTGAGGCAGTTTTGAGGAAGTGAGAGAATCCATAGTTGTTTTTTAAAGAGCTTGTCATTTTAATATACAATGTAAGTGTGATTTTAATAAATATTGTTTTTTTACTGACTTGCTACACTATATGATACTTTCTTTCACTTGGGTGAGGTACTGGCATCCAATGGAATGAAGGATTTCCATTATTACCTATTATTATCCATTATATGGGAGGAGGAGTGGATAGGCCTTTAGTGGCTAAATAAGATATTGGTCTGGATTTATGGAGATATCTTATTAAATACATGCAAGTGTTACATGTGTTGGAGCTGACTGGTATCTGCTGAGACGGAGGATTTTATTACCATGTTAGAAGTATCCATTAAATGGGAGGAGGAATGGACTAAGGAGATATCGCGAGGTCTGGATGTTTGGAGATGTCATATATTAAAACGCAGGTTTTACATGCCTTGGAGGTGAGAGTTCTATGAGCACGGAGTGGCTCTGTTTATTAGCATGAAAATTCACATTCACCATGGAATTGCAGTTATGGTGTCTGATCATGTGATATTTAGAAACTTATGAACTTATTTAATTAAAGCACGTTAGTATCTTTATTCACATTAATCATTAATTTATATTTTGGATCATGTGATATTTTTATGAACTCATTTAATTAAAGCACTTTAGTATCTTTATTCACATTATTCACTAATTTATATTTATGGTCTATGTTCTTAGTCATTTATTCACATTATGATTATGAGCACAGTTTATCTACCTGTATTGTTTATTAGTACTGATTGATGTTCATTAGCAGTGCTACATCACCTATAATTAATTCATTTATTTAGTTGATATTGTGGGAACACAACTGATGTCAGCAGCAGCACCTATTCATTTGTTTATTTACATTGTATAGCAAGCGCAGAAGTCCACTTCACTTATCGATCAGCAGACTTTCCTTGCCTCCTCTCTTTCTCTCTTTCCGCGGCCTGGTTCGGTCCTCCCACAATCAGCACACTCCTCTCTCCAGATCTCTCCCCTCTCATATCCTGAACTTTCGTATATATATATGCCTCCGCCCACACGCCAGCTCCTCTGGGAAATGTAGTTCTTTACTACACTGTTCCTTAGCAAAGTCCTGAGGTTCAGAATACAAGTTCCATGGGGCTGCTCTACAGAGTGTGAATGCTACTGTTATGCAGGACACTGCCATCTTGTATTTGTTTTAACATCCTGCATCCACTTGTAGCAAGGTGTTACGTGTAGAAAAAAAGATCCTTTCCAGGTAAAATATATACTGTATATTGCAAGAACTGTAGAACATTTAATTGCATATTTTAATTTAATGATAAATAACTAGACCTGCTTTATGATCAGTTTCTGGACAATCAAGTGTTGTAAAATTCAAGCTTGCTGTCTGCATTCCTTTGGGGATTGAAAAACATTTAAATTATCACACCAAAAACAACAGTCCTATTTTAGGGCACGCCTTTGAGCTGACCTCAGTCTCTGCATGGACTTTTAGGGAAAATCTAGGCTAAAAAAATGTGCGTTCTTAATTAATTTGTGTATCACTTCCAGATTTTAGCACACATTCCTCATCAGCCAGAAGTATTCTAGGTGGCTGGCTTTCCATGGCTACTGCAGTAAATAGAACAAATGAGAGAGCCAGTAACCTTTTGAATTAAGTGAGTTTGTGTTACTCAGATAATATGTATCATAACAACCTACATTTTGAGAACAAATGGGCCACCTTATAAAGCCATGGTCAGATCTAGGGGGGTTCTGGGGTGGGATGCACCCCTCCAAACTTCAGTTGTGCCCTCCCAGGCCAGCGTCCCCCATGAAGATTGTATACAGGATCGCTGAGCTTCTTCCTCTAATCCCTGCAATCGGTACTAGGACAAGGGGCAGCCTAGTGCGGTAAACTAATTACAGGTCAGATGGGAGAAGTGTCAGCAGCAGAGAGGAAAGGGAGGTGCAGGCTCTCTGTGCTCCCCACCTCCTGTCATAACAGCGATCCTTCATATGGCAGATTACACAGGATCGCTCTTAGATTGGATGGTAAACAAAACAGCTTGATAACCTGTCCCCTATCTCCTCCATGGATTGCTCACCTCCTGGAAGTCTGAGTGGGTCAGGTAATTAAGCTGTGTACCATCCGATCTAAGAGCGATCCTGTGTAATCTGCCATATGGAGGATCAGTGTTATGACAGGAGGGGAGGGAGCACAGAGAGCCTGCAATTCCTCACTACTCCTGTAGTTCCCTTCTGTGAGATTGTAGGAGGGAAGAAGTAAAGGGAGGGGGGAGAAGGAAGGGGGGGAGGCTTGTGGAGGAGAGGTGATGGAGGGGCTGTTTGTGCTGGGAAGGGTAAACGGGGGGTGGGGTATGTGTTCGGAGGTAGGATTTGTGGAAGAAGGGGGATTGGGGGGAGGGGGATTTGTGGGGGGAAGGGTCATTTGTAG